TAATAGGATTGCTCAAAGCTTATTTGTTGACACATCTGGCCTTATTCGGGGAGGATAACAGTGGCGACTGAAGTGAGGTGGGGGTTCTGATAACTTTCGATCTCAGCCAAAAAACGCAGCAATGGCGCTCCTGTGACGGCGGAAAGGTAGCAGGATAAACAAAGTTTGCCCAAGTGCAACAATTGTTGACCAATTGGAACAATTGTTGCATAGAGGTAATATTTTGTCACGAAAAGTACTGCATACGCTGAGAGCGGCCGATAATGAGGCAGCGGCCGGTAAGAGGCAATGCACTCTAGGTCAGGCTCTATCAAATAAGGGGGGTGGGAACTACCGAAAAAGTGCCGGGGTTTCAGGGGGTGACCTAACAAAAACAGGAAGGTGGTTTCAGGGGGGCATGCCCCCCTGAATTTTACCACAATTTAATGTTTTGCTGTTGTTAGGTTTGATATCTTAGCTCACCGCGAATCAAACGTATAGATCTAGATCTAGAAGTAGGTCAGGCTCAAATAAAGGGGGTGGGAACTACCGAAAAAGCACCAGAATCTAGGTCCCGTCTGTTCAGACAAGGCATCATCCACACAGTACGATATCCGCTCGCTCGCTAAACGAACTGTTGTCTCTGTGCTATGTGTAGTGAGTAGCGAACTACTCTTCACAAACAGATGGTTCGTTACCTGTCCGCTCGTTCGCGGGTAGTGCCAACGAGTAGTTCGTTACTCGCGGACGCTAATTTTGCGAGTCCGACCCAACCCTACTAAACTAAACTGCCATAATTTTGTAGAACACACATGGCCACATACAGTGGAGCTCGGATTCAACGAGATGAGATAGATTCCCCGTTTTTTTTCTTTCTCTTTTTTATAATCAATAAAAATAACCCGGATTCAACGAGCACTTAAATCAGCGAGCTCGGATTCAACGAGGTCGCTTCCAGGGTGAACACCCCCCCGTAGACGTGGTTTCGCTCATTTTTCTCCCAGAACGAACTTTATCTATTCCCGGAAATGATCCATTGCACCTGTATCGTGAACTAGGCTATTTACTTAACTGATAGCATGCGACCAATCAGCGGCCTTTTTTCATACCAACACAATATGCGTCATTGCCATTATTGGCGCGCGCACTTGTCTACTGTGGCATGTGTCGGGGCCTGCACACGTGTGACTGTGTGTGTGTCATGGAAGGGGGGGGGGCACTAGCGTTCCGGGCGTTTAAACGTCGCAGATACATGCACATCAGTCTTTTTTTTTTACCCTCGGTCACTGATCATTATTTCAATGATAAGCTAGTCTTGACGTAGATCTACGTATTGAATAAAATTTGAATTGTGCGCTGGTCTATGGAATCAAAAGTTGCTGTATCCTAAGCTCTACACCGCAACACAGCATTTTGCCAAACAATTGAGATGACACAGGCGTGCATTTGAACGAATAGGTCTTTTTTTTTCACAGCTCATGATATGCAGGCATTTCAGGCACTACTTGTTACTTCTCTTTACACATAACTTGCTCAGTGCCTGTAATTATCTACACAAAACCTCATGTTTGCTATAACGAACACTCAGATTCAACGAGATTTTCGGCCAGGCCCGGCGACCTCGTTGAATCCGAGGTCCACTGTACCCTTGTAAATCGTTTTCAAGTACAGTCGAACCTGTCTTAACGGAATCTCTCCGCTCCTCCCTTGATATATTCCTCTTTAACCCATTGTTGACGAAGGCCCTTGCCAGAGAGCTCCTCCCCAGGAACTGGGCATTTTACCTGTGCTCCAGCAAATGGACCAGCAAACTGGGGTAGCCTCAGTAAAACGCTTGTAGCTGTTATTTAAGGATTGAACCACCATAAAGTATATATTTTTACAAAGGGAATTGAATTGTGCATGTGTTCGTGTGGTTTTTGTGCAATTTGAATGAATAATAGAAAAATCTGAGTAATTTGAATGAAAGATTTTTTTTTTTTTCAAAAAAGCTAAAAATTGTACTGCTGAAAACCCTCAAATACATTTTTTTTATCAGCTAACAACCACATTGTTCACATAAACAATATGGAGCATTCAAAGTCCTTCACGCTGAATTTTTAAAAATTGAAATCTATCTATTATTGTAGAAGTTATGCCAATTTAAAAGTCACCCATTATGAGCGTCAGACTGTCTGAAAATCAGACAAGAAAGAAGAGATTGTGAATTTCCTTCTTTATTTCCTTGTATAAATGCTGTATGTAAACTACTTCCACAATGTATAAACATTGAAGGGCTGTGTGTTAGGATTATCACAAAAAGAAAACAATAAATATATGTCACACATCATAACAACAGCAGGTCCTACTTACCCATTGATGCTTGTTCAAAATTCAAGATGACACAGTATAAATCCAAAGTGAAAACACAATAATCCACAAAAGAATAAGCACAATATTACAAATACTTTTTACTGGCCACTCATATACTTAACTACACAACACTGAATATGAATTTGGCTAATCCTCAAAAAGTTCTTGCGTGGATCAAAATGAGTGAATTTTTCTGCTTCCTCCCGGACTCTTGTGTTACTGGTCTCCAGAGTAGTCTTGAAATGAATGAAACACAGTTCTGTAGCATGCTGAATTTCTACTGAATTGTCACGTTTATGCTTTCGGCCTGTTCGGCTGCACATTTCTCATGCGCGAGCAGGTTACACTGTCTGTAGCCAAAATTGATGGGTGCAGCTCTATGCTGACAAACTTCTTCTGCCAAAAAAAATGGCACACTTTATCCTCTTGCTGCCAGGGGTTCTGCCCATCATACCTGGAATTGGAGGAAGAGTGGACCGGGTCTGATGTGGTGCAGGGCTGTTTGTTGTCCGTGCTGTCTGCAATCAAGCCCGAGGCGAAGACCTTGACGAAATCCTAGAACCCAGGATAAAATAATTTTACAACTTCACTTTGTAAGAATCAAATTAGAATCATCGGTGTGCAGAGGCATCACAGACACCAATGGTTAAAATTTTTTTGCTGTAACTGTAACAGATGTATCGAGGCTGTTTTGAATTGATTGCCTTTTATAGATTTGTCTACCACTATCATTAAACTAAAGGGAATGATAACGCTAAGCCGTCATACGTTCAAGACATTGAAAAGATTTGAACAACTAGAATCTAGTAATTTTCTCCAATCATTTACACAAAAGTAGATCTATTCAGAATTTACAGCATACACTCTCAAATATGAAAAGAATACAAGTGTAGGCCTATAATCAATGGTCTTATGGCAGAGAGGGCAGACAGTGAATCAATGGGAAAGTTGGAGGAAAGGACTGTAATTCTATGGTGAATACTGGAGATACACACCTCAGAACTGATGAACAGTTCGTTCATGAAGATTTATAGTTGTCCACTGGTCTTGAAAAAAGACGTACTTGTTCTCAGCGTCGTCAAACAATCCCCAAACCTAGATCTAGTATTAACGTCGTCTTCTTGCATGGTCGATAGAAGTAGAACTATCACACGCACCCCTCCAAGTCGCAAGGGGCGCCTTCAACAGATCCATCCACCTCATCACTCCCGTCGCTAAAATCTCCATTCTCAACATCGTTTCCCTTTCAAATATCGTCATGAAAAGATTCCGTTGCGAAACAATGCATTTTGCGCAAAGATTCTCGCACGCGAAGTGAAAGTCTATCAGCATGAAACGCACTTGGCGAACCAGGAGAAAGTGAAAACGCATTCTTGTGTACGGATGTGACAAAAAGTAAAGTGTGCGCATGCGCGGTGTCTTTTCGGTATTATTTTTAGTAATTACATCAGCCCTCGGTGGTTTCCGTTGCTAATTATAGACAATTTCGGTCATTGTTTTAGAAAGCCAATGAGAACACGCATTGCTCTCATACCCCACGCTACTTTCCGCGGAAATAGGAAAGTAATGAATCATCTTACGACGACTATTTTGATCTTTTATTACGGGCAGAAGAATGACCCTTCAGACGGTACCAAACATGATAGGTTAGGCGGCATTGAAACACGCGTAACCAAGGCCAAAAATTGGCAAAATTCGCTGTTCAGAGGAGCTAACGACCACAGATTTTTTAGGATAGTCTATAAAAAAGCTTCTAACACAATAATGATTCATATTTTCAAGCTTGACTTTGTTTGATAGAATTCCGAAATGGATGAGGTACCCATTATGGAACATACCAACTTCATCGGTCCCGTGCTCGTCCCGTGATATCAACAAAATGGGCCCGTGCGTACTTCGTGTGTTTGCCGGTATGAAAGGATATCTACACATCGACGCGTATGCCGGTATCAATGGGTTAATCACCTGTAAAAAATGGAAACCTGTCCAACACGGAAACGGAAAGAAAAATCGTGCTCCCTTCCAAGGGTTTCACCTAAGACGGAAAATTCTTTGCCTGCTCAGCCCTGATTTGAAACAAAACTCGCAAGTTTAGTTCCGTCAGCTATAAACTTAACGCAATGGCCATGCCGCGAGACGAGGAAGGGGGGTAGGGGTGCAATTAGGGCGTAGATGTTACCCCATCATGTGAGCCCTGAGCGATGCAGATGGTCAGTGTAGTGTGGGTGTGAAATCTCACGACTGCCCGTGAGAGTGCTCGAGTAGCGAGCCAATACGAAAACTTTCCTGAGTAGCCCGGCTTACAAGAAGAAAAATAAAAACCTGGACTCCGACATTGTCACCTGCAGCTGTCTTAACTATAACACACACACACACACACACACACACACACACACACACACACACCCACCCACCCTAGTTTCTCCTGGATTTTTGTCCTCAAGTTTAGTTCCGTCAGCTATAAACTTAACGCAATGGCCATGCCGCGAGACGAGGAAGGGGAGTAGGGGTGCAATTAGGGCGTAGATGTTACCCCATCATGTGAGCCCTGAGCGATGCAGATGGTCAGTGTAGTGTGGGTGTGAAATCTCACGACTGCCCGTGAGAGTGCTCGAGTAGCGAGCCAATACGAAAACTTTCCTGAGTAGCCAATCTTAATTTTAAGTATTTAAAAAATGTTATTTGCTGTTTGGCTAACTCGGCCCGGCTTACAAGAAGAAAAATAAAAACCTGGACTCCGACATTGTCACCTGCAGCTGTCTTAACTATAACACACACACACACACACACCCTAGTTTCTCCTGGATTTTTGTAACCACTTTAGAGCGATATATTTGCAACATGAGTGAGGAAGTAGAAATGAAGAAAAATGCAAGGTAAAAATTGTAACATGGTCATGGATATTTTGTATAGTATTGCATTTTCTTGTTTTTTACAGAATTTTGACAAGATCAACATGTCTAACAACAAAGGTTTTGTTGTTCGTCTGAGGGGTCTGCCTTGGTCTACAAGAGCTGATCAAGTCGTTGAGTTTTTGAGAGGTAATTTCTTTATAGAGTCAATTTTTTGTTGTATTCTCATGAAACGGTTCAAGGGTGATGCTGATAGGTTGAACTCAAGGCGTATGTATTGTAAAATGCCTCTGTCATGCTTGATTGAAAAGGGTACATGGATAATCTGAATTTCTTTATAAACTTAATCAAAGTAGGATTTGTTCACATTGGGATATTACATTTTTTTCTACCGTGCGCTTTGAATTTCTTGTTTTCTTGTTTTTCCTGGACTGAATTTTGTGGGGGGGTTCAGGCCTGTGCCAGGTTTTTCATTGTAGTCTTTGGTTTTGTTTTAGTAAGCGTTTTACAGCACTTGTAACATAATTTAGGCCTGCATGTTTGCTGACAATCGTCTGAAATCCGACCCGCGAGCCGGACGGTGCTATCGCTTGGCCCACCTGTATTAGTCAATGTGCGAGGCCTGGCCGACTGCCAGCACCCCCTTTTTCTATTGTTGGCACTTTCGTTTTCGTGCCGACATCAGCGTTTCCGACATAATTGTTGGAACCTGAGTAAAAGTACGACGACCTAAATTGTTCTTTTAGTTTCGTGCTCGAGCGGCCATTTTGAATCGTTTGTTTACTGAATGTTCAGATCATGTGGATTCTTTCAAGTCCGACTCACTTGTTCTACTCTAGATCTAGATTTATAGATCACTATAGACCTCAATGGAGGATTCATATTCTAATTCTATTGTGTCAAACCCTATTATAGGTTGTGCTGTAATATTAATGTTGGTAAAGCGCATTTTATCAGGTGCGTGAATTATTTACTTAGAATAAAGATCTAATATAGACTCAGCTGAGTCCCTCTGTTCGGAATCGGATGCGGGTTTCTCGTTCAAGGCCTAGATTCTAGATCTATTCCTATTCACTTGTTCTACTAGATCTAGATTTATTTTGATCACTAGATCTATATTGAGGATTCATAGATCTATATATTCCAATTCTATTGTATTATTGTATCAAGCTCTTTATAGCAATGTAGGCCATAATAAATGCTCCTTGTTTGTTTTGGAGTGTGCTTTTTTTCTCTTTTTTTTGTGTGACTTGTGCTGACCTTTTTACATGAAGGCCGTAGCAGGTTCTTTTTTGGGTTAGGGTTAGGTCTCTTCTTTATTGTGTTTGTTCGGGTGGTGGCTCGTTACTCGGAAGTCCTTCCTTTTATGACACCCACAATTTAAAAGCTCTTATAAGTTATTGGGGGGGATGCGCACAATTTCAGACAATCTTGTTGAGGTTCACATGCAGGTCTAAATACAGTATTCAGTTTACTTTTTTTCCATAATAATTGAAAGCGAGCTGAGTTGATTTATATCAGTTGATTGTTTAAATTTTAATCAACTTGATTTTTAAAATAAAAATCAGAGATTTAAATTACTTTTAAAAGAAAAACACTCCAAATATTCATTCAATTTACTTATAGAAAGGTGTCCACTGACATTTGAATGAATCAAAAGATTTTTTCCCCCCACCTTCAGATCCTGATTTTTAGATTTCATAGAGTAGCAAGTCTACATAAGCTTTTATATATTGTATTTTTTGGGAAAAAATACTGTCCGGAACACCTGAAATTTCCATTGAAAAAAGTTCCAATTTCACTTATAATGTATTACCTCACATCAAAACAATTTTAACAATGTTATTACTGTATCGTTACTGTGACTCAAAATTTTTGTTTTGCAGAATGTGAAATTGTTGGTGGTGAAGAGGGAGTTCACTTTACCTTTTCAAGAGAAGGAAGACCGAGTGGAGAATGCTTTGTTGAACTGGCGTCTGAGGAGGATGTTTCAAATGCTCTCCAACAAAATAATGAGCACATTGGCAGCCGTTATATTGAAGGTATCTGCAAATATGGCATTAAAAGGGCTGTAAGGTGTTAGCACTATAGATTCTTGTATTATTGAATAGTTGTTCAGATATATGTGAGTATCCGTGTCTTTCCTTCCAATGTTTTTAACCTGTACTGTACATGGTATACAGAAATAAAATTTACAGGGTTCCCGCTGCCTCCTTGAATTCAAGGAGTCCTTGAAAATTGCTTGAATTTGCTTTCAAGGAAAAATCTCCTTGAAAACTCCTTGAATTTGCGTTCTAGGAAACGTCTCCTTGAAAACTCCTTGAATTTTGCCAGATCGGACAGGAACACGTGTACAGAGTGACTGCCAGACCCCGGGAATCTCGGGGGCCCCTGGAATTACCCAACAATTTGAAAAAAATCGCTGAGACCCGGAATGCAACGGGAATTTGAAGAAATCTGTAAATTGCCCCGGGAAAATACATAAACGTTCTCGAATATTTGAAAACCAAATGCGATAACGTCCTTGGGTCCATTTTTGCGGGTCGCGGTTGTGATATAATACAATTAATTCGGCCGTTCCCGGCCCGAGAGTGCGTTACACGCGCACAGACGGTTATGGCGGCAACTAGCGGAAGTGTATATGCGATGGACCCTCGATATGCGATACAGAAGCTCGATCGGGAAAATCAAGATCTACTTTCGCTTTCTTTACCACCAAGAAATTTGCTGGTAGGGCCTATAGTAGTCTGATAGCGCCACATTTGTAACATGCAGGTTCTGTATTACAAATGCTGTGTCGCCATGAAAACAATTCGTTTGTCCTGTGCTGTCACTTGTGAAAAAAAACAGAAAGAAAAAGAAAGCTTCTTGTCGGGCTCGCCGTCGTGACCGGTCATTGAACCTGTATGTTTTCGTCACATCGTGAGTATCGGCGATGGTTGAGGTCACCAAAGTTCATGCTAAGTCTGAGCGCTGCGAAGTATAGGACTCGGGAAAGGGGGGAATTATTCTTTTTTTTAAAGACGGGGGGGGTTGAAGTTGAAGGCAGCACCGGATGACAAAAACTGAACTTGGAAGCAGAATTTACTTTTCAGAATTTTGATTACTACTATCTAGAGCTCTCTGCACAGCACGCACTGGTGCAGGCCTTGTGTGGAATCGGGATCTGTCATACTCAAACCATGTAAGCCGTGTTTTTGTAATTAAAGGGTTCCCGTTTCATTGATTGTGTATTCTATATTAATTTAGCTTTCTGTTCAAGATTTGCAGATTTTCAGTATCACTGCATCTTGCGCCCCCCCAAGTTCTTCTTACACCTCTCACACTAAACAGGCCTACTTGAGCCATTCATGTTATTGCTTTACTTTGAGTTAGAGCAATGATATTTGTCTTTCACGTTTATTTTATAAACTTTGACACCCTAAACTGGTTCTTGACAGTGGATATTCTGGTTCTAGACCTTTTCTTTGGCTCAATGCAAGATTCATTTTTATATAGTTAATAATATTTTAATATGATGATAGCGAATATGATGAGGGGAAAATATAAATAAAAGTAAGAACTGATTGAAATACCTGTCACACAGTATCCCACTGCCACACTGACATGTTGTTGACTGAATATAGTGTACCTACATGGGTGCGTGCCACGTGTGTGTGTGTGTGTATATTATATATATAATATATAAATGGAGCATGCACTGTCATTGTTATGTAACATGCCCCTGGAGAATGGATGAGCCGCGCCCCCCCCCAACCGCCTGGAAAATTGAGAAGCCGGGTTGGCAGTCACCCTGGGAACAGTTTTTGTTGGAAAATCGAAACTATGATATGGTTCCTTTCGGACAAGTGTAGGCCTTCGTCGAAAATAGGCTTTCGTCATGAATTTTTTGACCAAATCTCCTTGAATTTTAAAAATTTCTCCTTGAAACCTCCTTGAATTTGATGGGAAGTTCATGGCAGGAACCCTGAATTTAGGATTACAAATGAAGTATAAGGAGTTTTCATTTTTCTGAGTTTGGTACCGATTTAGCATGTTTCAGGTTTTATTAATGTAATTTTGCAACTTCTGTGCAGTATTCCGTGTGGAAAGAACTGAAATGGAATGGATGATCAAGAGGGCTGGGGCTGGCGTGGCTCAGAATCAAGGAATGTCTGATGCAGTAGTGAAACTCAGGGGTTTGCCTTTTGGCTGCTCAAAGGAGGAAATTGCCCAGTTCTTTACAGGTAAACTTTGTGAATCTCTTTTTAAAAAGTTGTACGGCCTTGCAATAGGGAAACAAAGATTTTTACAAATTTATTTGAAAAAAACAACCCAAGGCTTTATTAAATAAATATTTTTATTTATTTATGGATATTTAGAATAAATTATATTTTAATCTTAATTATTACTTCAGCTGTTAAAACAAGTGTTGTTTTTTTTAACTCACTCCCACCTAACAAGACGCTATCTATTTTGTACAAGCTCTGAAGAGCTGATGGGGGTGGCCTTCGGATTTATCAAATATGCTATCAATTTTGTTAAAAATTGTTTCAGCAGGTCATCCTGGAGTACTCGTGCATTTTTTATAAGTAGGCAGTATGTGACACTTGGAAAGGTTTGATACCTGGCATCTGTCCCTTTATGGCCAATGATTATTTTGGTTTTCTTCTTCCATGAATGTTAGGGGAACGGTTTAGCTAAAAGATAGTACATTTCTACAAATGCGTATGATGTCTTTTTCAGCTGATAGTACATTTCTATAAAGGCATGTGATGTTTTTTAATCAGTGTAGTTTTTATAGGAGCTGAAATTGTTAAAATGGTTGTAAAGTTGGAACTTGTTTTCAAATTTAAGTAAAATTGATTTGCCATACACTATGTAGTAACCTGTTTTGCAATAGTAAAAAAATGGGCCATTCTGTGAACTTTGACTGACAACATTTGTGTGTTAGATAGGACATGGTGTCATGGTTGCTGAAAGCGTTAACCCTTTTCTTAGTTCTTACAGTTTTTCTGTTCGGACTATACTGTAATAGCTGTTAAGGAGTATTTAGTAAGTGCTGTAAAGGGATGGCGCCAGTGGCAGTAGTTGTATGTAAAAACCTTGTCCTTAAGATGGCGGACACTAGGTGGGATAGGGTTAACATGTGAATGGTGTTGTGGAAAGCTAATAAAGAGAGGAGTTATCTTTTTTTTAAAAACTAAAATATTTCATAATTGGTCTCAAGTCTTTTGACTAGGTTTATAGGAAATTTCATATTCATTTGATTTGGAAGTTTAAAAAATAATGCCCATGTTAATTATTGCATGTTTATCAAAGAGAATTGTGTGTTACATTTACACATTTATTTGGATCTGCTCATATGCGTCCCTTTGGGATCCTAAGTTTTTGGCCAAAAAAAAAAAATTTCAATTGGTGGTAGTACTATTCTGTACTCATGTGATGATTAAAGAATCATGGGCTATTTTAATCTGTTCTTAAAAATGAAATTATATCCAGTATTTTTTTGTAAGGGTTACTACTTTATGTGCTATGATTTAAATGTTATGTTGACTCAATCTTCATATGTTTTATTGCTTCCTTCTCTCTTTGCCCAATGGTTGGGTGGGGGTTATAGGGTTGGAGATAGTTCCTAATGGAATTATGCTCCCTGAAGACCGTCAGGGGCGGAGCACTGGGGAGGCTTTTGTACAATTTGCATCGCCGGAAATAGCAGAGAGGGCTATGGATAAGCACAAAGAGCGCATAGGTCACAGGTGGGGTTCATAGAGGCTTCTTTGAACTTGGTTGGTTTTCTTGTCTATTTTACTATGCTGCATTGAGAATGTCTCAAAAATGTTTGGTGTGGTGCTGCTACCTTAAGTGGATGTTTGTTGTTGTTGTTAAGTTCAAGAAATGTAGGTCACATTAATATAACTTCCCAATCCCATTTCCTTTACTTGTAAATAGAAATGTGCAGATGAGTTTTGGGATTTCTCTTGCTGAGCAAGTGTATGTAATTACAGAAATGTTGAATCTCAGCATTCTGAAATAATTTAGGCTTACAAGGATGGTGTGCAGTACCTGAGTTAATTGCTTGTTCTGGATGAATGGTGTAATTTTGTTTGAAAGGGATGTATGTGTGTATGCACCAGTTTTTTGTTGTTTTTTTTTAAATTTAAATTTTAGAACCATAGCTGTGTAAATATGCTTTGTTGAGACATTTTGGCTTTTTAAGATGTACATGTAGTATTTGTGGACACTAACATGTTTTTGATGGTGAGACAATAGAACTGGAGTGTTGTAATGTACAGATGATTGTCTTGTGGTTAACTGAAGAAATATGTTTTTGCTTGAAAGTTGTGTTTACAAGATTTTATATTTCACAAATATTATGTTAGTCACTGGCATTTCTGATTTTAGATATTAATTGGATTTAGTGGTATATGTTTTGTTAGAGTTGTTTCTTTTTCTTAGTTACAAGCTATAGTTGACTGGTTTGAGTAAATAATCTTTGACGTAATTGAGCAGAATACTATCAAGTCTTGTGTACAGGTGATGTTTTTCAGTGGTCTCTGTAAATGCCATAAATTTGTCCAGCAAAACTTAGTTATATGTACAGTCATATTCCAAAACTTCAACATCTTCATCAAAACGTTTCAGGTACATTGAAATTTTCAAGAGTTCCATGAGTGAAGCGAACAGAGCAGGTGGAGGCATGCGAGGTGGAATCCGTCCACTGATGGGCGGCGGTGGCGGCATGATGCCCAGACCAGGGCCCTATGATCGTGGAGACCGCTTTGGAATGGGCATGATGGCAGGCATGGGATATGGGAGAGGCAGAGGCCGTAATCTGAAGGGTAAAATTTTGACTGTACCCTCTCTCCTTATACTTTGCATGTGTTAAAAAGTGAATGAGATTGCTGTGTATGATTTGAGGTCGCTGCTGGTCTCTTTTGTTGTTTCTGTCAGTTTTTTTAAATAAATGACTTCTTACTCTGAAGAATGTGGGTGGTTATCTCTCCTTTTTTTGTTTGTCACTCCTTTGTAACATCTCTAATCTTCGGCGTGGGTGGTTGGCGGGTGCTCTTGTGTGGTCTGCTTCTTCTTTCCTATCAAACATCTATCATCCCTATCTCCCCCTTCTTTTTATGTTTGATACTCTCTTGTAACACCTAATCTTCTGGTTCTCATATGGCCTTAGGCAGTTGCGAGCGCAGTAAAACCTCTACTAAAACTAAACTAATCTTCAGCACTTATATTGCAAGTACTGTAAAACTCTTGCGAATAAAAACTTGATAATTTTGCTCAGCTGATCTGTTGCCTACAAAGATGCCCAAAAGCTGCATGGTGCTTTTGTTTCTAGTTATGATTGGCAAAATCACACCGTCTGGCCAGCCAGCCGCCTGATTTCCGTCTTCACTTCAAAAGTCCAAAGAATACCTGCTTTTACTGGATCAGTGCTGTCTGTGTTAATTAAATGTTACTTTAAGATTTTATCCAGCTAGTTTTTGGAAGTAAGCTGTCAAATCTGGTCGGAAAAAGAAAAAGGCCAATTGTCTTGTTTCATTTTCGGGTATGGATAGGGCTAATGGAAAACAAAAGAACTAGTATCTCCTCATTAGCTTTATCATTTTCTAGTGTGTTTTACTAAATGTTTTATGTGAAATATAAGGTTTCTCTTGTCTTTGGCACATTTTTGCATCATGTGTTTTTTTTTAATATGCACTTTCAGGATTCTTTGAAGAAGAATTTGAGGACTATGGTTTTGGAGGTGGCATGGGATTTGGTGGAATGCGCAACAGGCGTGGTGGTGGTGGTGGTGGTGGTGGAGGCGCCGGAGGAGCTGCCATGGGACCCATGAGGGGTGGCCGCGGAGGAATGGGCATGGGTGGTGGCATGGACAGAAGAGGCATGCAACCTGGTAGCTGCTATGTAAGCAAAACCGGCCACTCTGTCCACATGAGGGGTCTGCCTTTCCAGGCTCTAGAACAAGATGTTTTCGATGTAAGTGGTTTTGTTTTCTCTTGTTTCTGTCTCATGGTTGCTCTACAACAAATTCTTACCCTTTTTATTACAGTATATGTTCTCTGGATCTAATAATACCATGGCTGGCTGGATTTTTATTCTTTCTTTTTTTAAAAACTTTTACAGAGTACAGTACCTTGGAAAGACTTGCGAAAGGCTCTTATACTAGCAATGCCAATCGCCCTCTGCACCTTAGGCCGGAAATCGAAATCGGCCTCCGCGTGAGGGGTAATTATTAGGCCGCTTGGAATCAGAAGTGACTCTCTTCTAAGTATAGTTACGGGAAAACTCGTGAACGAAAATAAATAAAACTCGGCAACCATTCAGACGAAAGGTTAAACTAACATGACAGAGTGCAATCCCGAACGATTTCTAGAACCGGAGAAATTGCTGTGTTTGTGGGAATTTCCTCTGTGGTTCGAAAACTAAGCGGAGCGGCGGGTTGATCGCTGAGTACACTGGCGGCCCATATGTCTTCTTTATTGCTGTAAAATTTAAGATCTCTGCGTGTAATACATTTTACGTACTAAGTTAAAATTACCACCCATCCATTGATTAAACACTAGAGCTGGAAACTAGATCACGCATTCCAAATGCGAGGTGCTGGCATGCAAGAGACGCATGATCGCTAGGCGACATGTGATTGGCTGCCTATAACTAAACAGGTCACCGATGACTTCATTGTGGGTTTCCCAGATACCGCTTTACTGAGTTTTAGAAGGGGTGATCGCGTCGCAGTAAAAACGATGTCATGCAATTCAACAAATTTTACGCAAATATTAGTCTTTAAGATTCAAAGTATTAAAGACATTGAAAAAGTGATAGCTGAACTAGATTCTGCACTATAAATCACATGCAGAAGCCAAGTTTTATTCATGTACTCCAATTCATTACTGACTTATGAACAGTTTTTCTCGAAACACATCTAGACGTCTCACATTTTGGCAGTATTTTCTTATATGAAGGTCACCCAAAACTTTGCAAACAAAAATCCCAATAGCTTTTTCAATTTATTAATGGATTTTTAAAATTTAAAAGCCATAGTTCTTAGAATTTGCTCTATTTTCATTTAAGCTCATTTTTTAGCAATGCCAATTGGGCTTTACTGCGCGGCAAAAATTTGGTCCCCGTTTGGGGATGAATTTTTGAACCGGGTTGTAGCGTACGCGACTAACTTTGTCAACCTCAGTCTGCTCTATTTCTGAACCAATGTGAAGGACAGTGGGCAACCAATCAGAAAATAGGGCAAACTAATATGTGGACGTTGAAGTTCGTACACATAAATTAACCCAGAGATGCCAACCAGTACGATTTTACGTATTTTAGTACGATTTTGTGCCGAAAATACGACTTTTCGTGAAAAAATACGCATCCTGGAATGCGAAAAATAGGAGATTCAGCTTGGGCGAGTAAAACCTAATTATCTCAAGTCCCATCTTTTTTCAAAATAGTACCAGTGTTGCAGAACTGAGATATTTGAAAACCAAGTCCGATAAGGTCAGTAAGTTCATTTTTGCCAGTCGCGATCGTGATATCATATTCGTTCAGCTTTTCCCGATCCGGAGAGTACGTTCCACTTTCACGCGAATAGGCAGCTATGGCGGCAGGCGGAAGCTTACGTGACACCGAGGCTCGATCGGGAAAATCAAGGTCTGCTTTCGTTAGGCCTACCACCGAGTAGTTTGCCAGCAGTTGTCTGGTAACGCAACATTTGTGACTTGCAGGTTGTGCAGTATAAACGCAATGTTGCTGTGCAAATAAAATTTAATCAATGCTCGGACTCGCCTCTGTGCTCTCATTTGTGGAAAAAAAGAAAAGAAAATACAAGCGTCATCCTATTTCTAGATTGTCGGGTTCACCATCGTGACCTGTCACTGAACCTGCGCGCATTCGCATCATAAATAAATGCGGCATCGTGTTAGCAGAGACCGTCTTTGGTGGGAGTTAACGGCCTTGCAGAGTATAGGACTACAGGATAGGGGAGGAGATTATTGATTTTTGGGGGGTTTAAGATACTAAAGGGGAGGGTGTGAAGGCAACAACAGAGGTAAAAAACTTGGAAGCACATTTCAGAATTTTGATTAGAGCTTTCTGCAAAGCGCGCGTTGGTGCAGGCTGTGTGCGGAATCGGGACCCCTCATACTTTGCAAGTCTGTGTTATTGAAATTAAGTGTTCGCGTTTCATTGGATGGGTGAAAGTAATTATACCTACTTGGATGGGTGATAGTAAATTATACCTATGGTGTATGTTGTAGCTTTCTGTTCAAGACTGGTAGATTTTCAGTGTGTCACTGGATCTTGCCCTTCCACAGTTGTTAAAACTCTCACTGTGCATGGGTCTACTTGAGCCATTCAAGTTATCACTTTTCTATGAGTTTGAGCAATAATTTACTCTCAAAGCAGGATTTATTTTTTACATAATGAGAGGAAAATATTACCGGTATATAATAGACTGAAATATTTAAGTCAAACAAGACCCCAGTACGACACTAAACACTGACATGTTGTTGACTGGATACAAGCATATTGTACGCGTGTGTGCTCCTTTTTTCGTGCTGGTGAGCTAGTAATTTTTTTTCAGGAAATAATGCTGGACACCCTGAACATTTTACTTTTACTAGTTGGTCGGTCGTGGGGAATACACATTTTCCCCTGAAAATACACATTTTCATATTTCCCAATACACATTTCGGTTTTCTGTGGTTGGCATCTCTGTTATCCTATACTTTTGGTGTCGGGAACACCTTCGTATCGGGTGTACCGAAAACTATAAGGAGCTTCAATTTCAACGCGGAGATGGTAATAGATCTATCTATCCTTTAGAGTGTGGTCAAATTTGAACGTTCTGTGTCCCGTAGTTGTTAAGACCCGATCATAAATGCACGACTACCCCCATGTCCAAAGCAGCTTCGCACAGAGACCGGCCATTTTCCCCTCACTCACTATGCAAACGTATGTCATCTACAAGTCCCCGCATGACTATTCCGAGCCCATTCATTGGTCACTTGAAATAGAGCAATGGCGCGCGTGCGTATCCGGTTGTTTTTCTCTCTATCCCCCTTTAACATCGCAATGGTGGTGCGAACTTATCTCGCCTTGGAGTGTTCACGTCTCAACAGGGAAAAAGAATTTTAATTGTACGGCATGCTAGATTGAATTAACTTATCTTTTAAGGTTGGCATGGTCTAAAGTCATCAAAGAAAGCTTTGCCATTATTTAGTCACGCTGCCAATGTATATTCTTAACTGATTCCATCCATGATTTTTTCAGGCTCTGAGCAGAATTATTTTTCCTTGTTCAGTTTTAGACCTGGGGTGAATCTATTTAATGCATTACTGTAAAGCTCTCAGTTACTCTAATAGGTATTGTCATATACCAAAGTGATGGGAATCAATAGAGGTATCTGTTTATATCAAGGAATGAGGGAGAAAAACAAATTGCGCAACACCTTCGAAAATTTTAATTTACCGAATTTTCTCAGCTCTACAAGTCCTTATAATCCATAGGAATCAACACAGAATTGTAGGGATATCACCCTAGCACACATTTATGCAAGAATTTCACAAATTTAGTTGAATATCTTTCTTTTAAGGGCCCTTTTCTTATACCAGGCTCTGTGTTATTTACCCTTAGATCTAGCCTACATAGCGACAACAAAACGATTTTTGCAAAAATTTCGCGGAGCTTCGATCGACATTGGCGCTCATAGGTTGAGGTCAGGTTTGTTTACAAGTTCTACTTCCTTTCGACAACTTAAAAGTAGGAGCTATGTTAAAAAGTGTGCATTTGTTTCGGATTTCGTTGGGCCGCTCACAGCAGTCAAATGGATGCAGCGGAAAAAATTTAGAGCCGCTATCAGCGGCGGAATGGACGGAATCAGTCGAAGATCCCATATTGTGATACGATGTTATAAATAAAATGGACTCGTCCCGACACCCCTTTTTCGCAAAAATCGAAATATGTACACCAAAATTTTAATTATAACAAAATGACTACGAAATGGTTAGTAAATCTGACGGCAGAAATTTCTCCCCCAAAAATACATCGGGTAGCCAAGTTTCTCTCCAACACTCCAATTAATTACTGAGATATCGTCGATTTTCATACAGAATCTGCTACTGCGTGGTCTACTGTTTTGGAGTATTTTCCTTTATGTGGGTCATCCATATTTTGCCGACCTTTACAACCCCATAACTTTTTTAAATTTAGGAACCGATTCTTAAAATTCAAGAAGCATAATTCTTAGAATTGAAAATTCTTTCTTAGGTACCAAATAAAAAGGGCTAAAGCGATGGAAATTTAATTTTTCATTGTCATTGCTACTTATACTGAAAAAGTGCAGCTTATTTTTAAAAATTTTCTTTCATCACATTATTCTCTCACCCAGTTATTGGGTTACGGCTGCGGGGCTCTCCATCTCTCTAACTCCAGCCAGCTATGCCTCATATTCATGAGATATACCCTTAGTTCTTGTTCCCATGGTTTCTGTCTTCCTCATCCCAGGTATTCGTCCTGGGGTCAAAAATGGTATGTTTCCACTTTCTGAGCTCTTTATATTGGATTTATAAAATTAAAAAGTTGCGTTCCAGGTGGAAATTGTCATGATCTTCATGCGATTATAATGTACTTAATTTTTCTTGTTCTTGTACCCTTTCCAGTTCTTCTCACCAATCCAGCCTGTGCGATGTGAATTTGAGTTTGGCGACAATGGAAGGCCAACTGGAGAAGCCAATGTTGATTTTGCCACTCACCAAGAAGCTGTTGAAGCTATGAAAAAGCACAAGAGCAACATGCGTAAGTTTATTAAACTATTGACGTATTGTTAATGAGTAATTTTGTTTTGTACATTAGACAGTTAAGTATTTGTTGCATATGTACCAGCAAGGATGTGGTTACTTTAAAGTTGTCTGAATGTGAACACTTGTATTATTGCGTGAATTTCTGGGAATACGATTACTCGTTGAAGAAGGTGATCTTTGTTCTTGCAAGAGGCAATACTTGTAGACTGTTATGCACAAGTGATTTTGCAATTTGTCATTTGAGGACCAGCTGTGTCTCACGGTCAGTGTTTGCTTTAAATAAATAACCTTTCTTTTTTTGTTTTGCATAGATTTAGATGCTACCATAGGTAGAGACACAGAGAATTTCATCCTTGGAGATGCTGGATTTTCATGTTTGTATTTATTTTACTACATTGGTTTCATTTGCAGAACACAGATACATCGAGCTTTTCTTGAATTCTGAACCAAACATGCGCAACAATGGAGGCAGCGGTGGCGGCGGCGGCTACGGCAACAACATGGGTGGAGGCTTTGGAGGCCAGATGCCAAGTGGCAATGGGTACAACGATGACATGGTTCCAGGATTTGGCCAGGGTGGCGGCGGTGGCAACGCTGGCTTCGGAGGTGGTTATGGCGCTGGCCCCAACCAAGGCTTTGGAGGAAACCAAGGTGGATTTGGAAACCAAGGCGGTGCTGGGTTCGGAAACCAAAGTGGTGGTGGATTTGGAAACCAGGGTATGATAAGAATTGGTGCAGACTGTGTGCCTCAAGTTTGATAGTTGATAAAAATGTTGAAAGTACACAGGGATATTTGCTGAAATTACTGGATAATTTTTTGTCGAGGGAGGCGGTTACCAATATCATAGCACTGCGTTGGGCTCACAACCAGCAGTCTGAATTTTGGGGGAACGTATAAAGAAACTCTCGTTCAAATAGTGTCGAAATGACTTGGTTTTGCCAGATCTCTTAGTTATTTTTTAAGGTTTATCGGGGGGGGGGGGGGGTCAACATTGGATCTCTAGATTATATTGATCTCTTCTGTACTAATGATCTATGGATATTACAAACTTATCTGCTATGCTAACCTGTACATTACCATATTTAGCACATTTTTTAGTGTCTCAGTACATTGGTACTTTTTTTGTGTGTCTCAGGTGAGTACGTTATGTTGGAAAATACATATTCTGTTTTCTTGTATTGCTAGGATTTCAATCTGAATTTAGTGGAGTTAAAAATGGTGAAGATGAAGAATCGGCAATAGCAGGGACAAAGGCTTGCTAACAATGTGTTAAAAATGAGAGAGAGAGTAACGCAGTGATGGAGTAAGCCCAGGCAAGCCATGCCACTGCAGGCACACGCAGCGGGTGAAGCGAGAGATGGCTGCGGTGTGCTGCAGACTTCGATCTAGCCAAGTTACACGCACGCGTAATGTGTTATGCGCATGCCTGCCCTGTGGCCTCAAGAGAGGGCTGCGGTGTTCTGTTCGTGGGTACTTGTGTCCAGGGAAATTACCCATGGATAAATACGGCTGGATTAGTCCACCAGTGCTTACTTTTCTTGCATTTTTAAAATTTAACAGGGATCTGATATAGCAGAACTTTTTCTCTGGTCCCACCATCCCTGTTATGTCAGGTTTCCAGTGCACATATTTGCCTTCGTATCGTCTTGTTTAGGCCTATGTCATGGTTGCAAATATTTATGGTATTTCTCTCATCAATAAGTTATTGTAGAAACCTGCCAGATTGGGTATTTCGTGTAATCTGCCATTTTCCGCGCTATGTGATCATTGAGGGTTAGTCATCAATACATCTTTACTTGCGCATTGATCAAAATCTGCCTAGCCATATCGACCTTCTTGGGCCTATTTCCTTCATTCACTCATTCTTCCTGTCTTCGAATTGTTGCTGTGGCTGGAAAATCTGCACTTTGATCAAGTAAATTGATTTGTGCTTTTAGACAGTAAATCACTGTCAGAAACTTGTTTGAAAATTTGTTTCGATCTAAATAAATTGTCAGTGCGATGATTGTACAGTGTACAGGAGTGTGACAAGGACCGAGGTGAAAGTGAATGATGAAACTACTAAAATAAAGAATGATTCAAAATGGTGTTCCTAGGTTGTGACCTTAGGCATTCAAATGTGAAAGTGAAAGAAAACAGGGTGTACCGTTGGGTAATTCTATACTCTATTGTCAAGGTACTTTCTATTTATTATTCCTATGTTTGCCTTCTGTCAATAGTGCAGTGACAAATTAATTGAATTATAAATTATTGACTCGATGACAAGGAGAACGTGCTTATAACTCGCTGCCTACTGGGCCCTTTCACCAGTCACTTGTGCTGAATACTGGCTTTTTTTTGGAGTATTTTAAAACACCACCACAACTCGTAGAAAAATTGCCCAGTAAAACGAACAGCAGTATCGAAAACAGCGACAATATGTGATTCTTGTTCATGCAACTTGTTTGACCTTAACTCTCATCCTGCGGGAGCCGGATTTATGTCGCCTGATAAGCCTATTTCTGCACCTCGCCTACGTTCTGGTCCCGAATCAGTGTAGCACTGGCTCAGCGCGCACCCTCTTACGTGTTATTCGGGTCCCGAGTCGGATCCCCATTCACGCATGTCAAGTGTGTGTGCGTCAGTCTGCTTGAGTTTGTGTGCGTTTGTGGCCTTCTTCTAGAACCGTTCGTAATTGAGGCATACGTCTCATTCAAAACATGCCAAGTTGGTAGCTCCGGATGTTCGTCCAATGAAATTATAGAAGAAATTGACCCACTTAGACATGAGGAGCTCGAAAGGATAGTCAGGAAACAAGACTTCCATTTTTCTATACAAAATATTTCAAATGAGCTTGATTTTGTATGAAATGATACTACCTGATAAAAGATGAGCTTGTTTAATAGTTTTGAATACCCTTGTGCAGGTACAAAGAACAATTTGAGGGTAAAACACTCGGAAATTGACCTAAATTATCCCCTTTCGAATCTCAGGTCATATAACAAGAGGGTCCAGAAAGGTTATTGTATGGGCGTAACTACTCGTAATGTCTTATCAGCTTGTGAGAGGGGGTTATTCATGTGTTTATAACACTTTATTAATAGAAAGCTATGAAAGATAAAGCGTTATTTTCGTCATCGGTTAACACACTCCCGCAGTATTCATGGCGAAAACACGTTTCCCAGCGCGGGTGCTGTACACCAACAGTACACACTGAGTGACCATGGCACGTCTAACGTAATCGGTTGCTGATCAGATAGCATCTGGGCACAGACGCAGGATAAGAGTTAACTTTGACACAGCTATCAATGTACAGAGAAAAACGCTAATTCCGGTCAGTTGAACTTTAGATGAGGTGGTTGTACCTCTTCAATTGTTTGAAAACTTGCAACCCAACTACCAAAAGAAGTGGTCAAATCAGCACATGTGACATGAGTACAATTTTCAAAGCAAAACAGCATAGTCCATCCTGTCGGGGGGTACAGGATCTGTACCAGCAAATCGGCCGTGGGTCCCGCACCAGACGGGAAGCGTAGTCAGTATTTTAAACACTGCCAGCAATGGAAAGATTTGTATGTGAGAAATCAAACAAGACAAATTATGATGAAAAAAGATTAGTGATATGTGTTGTTGGCAGTCTCCTCGGACTCCCAAATGCCATTTTCAACCTTCTAAGAGCACTAAATTTCAATTAATCCCAGACACACACACACACACCGGATTTTCTTTAATTTTCAGTTTCAGCTGTTGGAAGGACTGTCTTATAATGTTGGTTTTGTCTTGACATATGATCTTCCTTCATGTGATTTTCACCATCTTCGATTTTGGCATCTTCATATTAGTTTTTTTTTTTAATTTTTTTAATCGAGTAGCAGCTTCACCTCTGTTCCTAGGTGTCGTTCTTTGGCAAATACCAGGTCTGATCCCTTCCCCGCAGAATCTTTCACCTGAACAGCTAGCCTCTCTCTAAATCCAGTTTAATTTGATGAAGAACATGTACATTTTCAAGTTTGTTTCTCATGGATCTGGAATTACTTTATTACAAGTCAGTCCGGATGATTTACGAATTGCCAGTTTGAGTTTCCTTGAAGCCTGGACCAGTAAATGAACAGGTGCACTTATAGCTTGGACTTTAACAAGTTATAGTGGATCATTGCTCTTATATCTTTGCAGACAAACTAGACTTAATTTTTAAAAAGTTGATTTTCTCTATTTTTCAGGAGGCTTGAACAACTATGACATGGGTGGTGGCTACGGAGATGGCATGGGCACTGGAGGTGGCATGATGGGCAACAACTACACAGCTTTCTAAAGGAATGAAAACTTTTTTTGTTTTATTGTCCTTTATATTGCAAAACTTCAGTGTGAAACTGTCAATTGCAGCATGGAAAAAAAAACAGACCTCTTTACCCCAATTTTGAGCTCTTACATTGCATTTTAAGCCAGGTATGTTGTAACTGTGCTCAATGCGGTGAAAATTATTGTGACCAAGTATTCATGTAGATGTTCAATTAATTTGAAATGATGAAAGTGTTTTCAGCACGTTGTTTTAGATCTTTTTAAAGGGCCTGTTTGACTTGTGTAACATTTGTATATATGAAGTCATCCTGCATTGACCGACAAGCAGCAACACCATGCAGTTCATTTCCATTTCCATGTTGTCCTGTCAGATATTTTAATTGTAACTGTACTGTAACTTTTTTTTTTCCCCCTTCTAGCTGTCATGATCATTTTCGTTGTTCGACCACTCAAGACGTCATGTACATATGCCATTCCAAATAAATACATTTGAGTATAACAAGGGACTTATCTGTACTTGTTTTAACATTTAGAAATCAGCATTTTGGTTGTTTGGGTCTTTGGTGAAAGTTCGACACAACAAAAAAGAATTATAACATCTAAATTGACATATTTCTGTAGATGACCAACATTTGATATGACCCCCTAAGTTTACAATCTTTATTATCCAGTTGATTAGGTTATAGTTTGTAGGTGGTACCGTCTATCCGGGGGTGGGGATATGTCATTGTATATATATCCGGAACAGAGAACAACTTATAGACATTGTGATGGAGAACCTTGAAACATCTCTGGATTCGAACCAGTTGCTTGATAAGGTCCTTGTCTTACCAGCTTGGAGAACAGTAGGCTGTGTATCTGGAAAACTAGATCTAGTCTTGATAGCTTTGAATTAAAATTGTATTGTTCCGTTGAGTTTGACGAGGCTCCTTCCTGTTTAATTGGCAATACTGAAATAGTCATTGCATTATTATTAGCGGTGGCGGAGCGGTTAGTGCGCTCATCTCCGAAGTGGAAAGTTCGGGTTCGAGCCTTGGTTCAGACACAGATTTTTTTCGCCCCTTCCTGCCCACCCAGCAGTAATGGGTACCTGACTTCGAGTTGGTGAAGTAAAGACGGCGTGGAAAGGAACTGGCCACCCTACCACAATATTGTCTCACTAACGAGGCAATCCCCAATGTCCAAGTCGGATACGGGTACAACTTTTTTTTTTAGTTGGCCATGGTAAAATTGGTATTTTTATACCGATGTTGAGAAAAGTCGTTTTGGTTGTTGGGGAGGGCAGAACTGGTATGTCCTACTTTTTTCCTTTCTTTCTGTTGTTTTTGTTCCTTTCATTGTATCAAATTACAATTGTGTTGGCGAGCTCTTTTCTCAAACCAAGCAATATCAAGTCTAACGCACACGTAGCGAAGAGGTTCTCAGGTCCAAAGTTTTTTCTTAGTAGGCCTACTTGTATTTAACGTAAGTGCATATATATAACGAAATTTGTAACAAAGTAAAGATTTCTGGGTCCTGTTGATTTCGCTTGCGAGACTAGATTGTAATAATTACCGTGCCTGTCGGGTATGCTAAGGAGCACCTGCTTTCCCCCGGTATTGAAAGTGATGATTTAGGTCTTGTACAGTATGCCTCGGAGACAGGGGTGCGGGAGCTCAGCTTGCTCCTTTCCTATCAAACATCTATTGCTCCTCTGGGCTCCTGACTCTTTCTGCAGCCTTTCTACTGCTAGTCTTCTTAGTACTCCTCGGCTCCTTACTGCTGTCTTTCAGCCACACCCCTGATCTTCTGGTAAGAACAGGAAAGATCTACAACTAGCCTTTTCGGACAACGGCGAAAAATCTCGGCTCGTGTGCAAGTTGCGCACGTTAAAGATCCCTTGGTGGTTTAAAATCTACAAGGATAGGCTTTGGGCGCCACGCGGGAAAAGTTCAAAATTTCCTACCAATTGAAAGAGTTTAATATTAATATGTCCGACGCATTCATATGACCTTATGCAGTTGCCAGCGCCATAAAACACCCCAACCCCCCCCATTGATTGTCCTTATAATATAAATCTCTCTTTTGTGTACTAATACTATGTTACTCTCTTGTAACACATCTATTCTTATTGTGTTGCAAGTGCCGTAAAACTCTTACTAAAAAAACTTAAAACATAGGGGTGGCTGGAGGATCCTGATTAGATATAATCATACTGCCAATTTCTCTATCTTATTATTCTTATGCTATTGTTTACTTTGTCACTCACCCATCTATCGTGCCAATGTGCTTTCAAAAGCTGAAACTTTTCAATATTGAAATTTGAAAGTGCAGGTGGTGCTTGGTGGGTGCCCTGGTGTGGTTTGCTCCTTTTCCTACCTGTCCCCATCGTTTTGTGCAAGAAAAATTCTGAAATTATGCAAACTGAGCCCAATAATGTGAAATTAATTATGTAGTAGTATGCGGTTTTACGGCGCTCGCAACTGCTAAGGTCATATGAAATTAATGCGATTCTGTTAATTTTAACAAAGAATGATAAAGGAAAATAATCAGAAATTATGCAAAAAATGATCAAATTTTGCTAAATTAAGCGGGGTGCATAAGACCACGGGGACAAAGTTATTATTACTCAACTATCATCATCATTTTATAAATCTTTCCTCCTCTTTTGTGTTAGTTACTACTCTTTTGTACACACCTGAGGTGTACCTCTAATCTTTGGCACTTAGATCTTTATGATCTTATTGACCTTATTTCAGTAACTTATTGAGTGTTGCAAATGCCGTAAAACTTGTACATGTACTAAAACTAAATCGAAAAAGTACCGAAAGTGGTTTACGCTTGCAAGTACGAGACTAGCGGTTGGAGTTGGAGGGTACCACTGGTGGGTGGGTTCCTTTTCTTTTCTTTTCCTCTGTTGCTTCAGGGACCTGTGTTGCTTCTTCCCTGCCTATGATCGTTATTGTGTCAAGGTGTTTCTCTTTAACTCAAAACTCGAAATTTGCTCTCTCAAGACTCACTCCCATTGTAAAAAAGTAATTGCAATACTTGTAGTACTAGAACTTAAAAGGTGGTTGGCCTGTGTTCTGGGGTGGTTTGCTTGAATTTGCTTCTTCTTTCCCATCAAACATTATATCTCCCCTCCTTTTTACTCTCTTGTAACACCTGTAATCTTCGGCACTTATAGATCTATTACCTTTTTTTATTGTGTTGCAAGTGCCGTAAAACTCCTACTAAAACTAAAAGTAGTAGTTTACAATTACTTTTTTTTACAATGGAAGTCTTGAGCGTGTGAATATTTGAGTTTGTGTCTATGGGTGTAAATTTGTCTAAATTAAAATGTAGAAGACAATGCACACAACTTGTTACCCACTGGTTGCGCCACTGGACAAGTGCATTTCTGTTTATGAACTATGACTACGACTGCATCATTCTTGATCCTCACAGATGGAAGAAATACGTCATGTACATGACATGTAGTTGAAAAATTGTAGAGTCATCCAGTTGTACATGCGCAAATGGAAAGAATCCCATAAAAGTTTTTCAACGAACTTATTCCTCTTCAGAGTGAAGCATATCAGCAGACGTAGGCTGCTACATGATGATACATCATGTACATAATTATGTACAGTAGAACATGGCAAGAGCAGGACTTTTAGTTCCAGAAGAAAAATCCTGTTGTGGACAAGTTCCCGCTATAGGAATTCAAAGTAAAAGTAATGGGGAATTTCTGAAAAATCACACACTGCGCGCTCTCCTTTTCTTTTACTCTTTAATCACAACGCGGCACCGCTGATTGCCTGTGTTGAGCCCACTTTCAACCCCCTCCCTTCCCCCAGCAAGAGCTCGCTCGATCTCTTCCGCTGTATCCAAGTTTGGGCCTTTCCATGCCCCGTTAAACCCAAGCACAGTTACAGACAGTTTTACTTAGGCACAAAAAAGGGGATTCCTGTACATATGGCTGCAGCTGCCGCTTCAACTTCAATGTAGTCATGTTCTACTGTACATGTATTAGAATTAGTTTGGTGCAGTTTGTATGACGAAGAACAGACCAATCCAGGAGATGAGGCATGTGAAGGACATGTAAATTTCTATTCTATCAGAAGTCAACATACTGCAAGTTCTGCTTACACTTACAGATACTGTGTGATACATTTCCGAAGATAAGCAGCCATTACATACAATTACATGTATTTTATTTAGGGAAATCCAAAATTGCTTTGTTGGCTCTTGAGTCCCTACTGCACTGCAAGAGTACTGCCCCCGGGACAGACCCGTCCCATGTTTGTTGAAACCTATGAATACTATTAGTATGTACAGTGGAACTCGGATTCAACTTCAACGAGATGGAATAGACTCCCCCGTTTGTTTTCCCCCCTGCAAAATCAATTAAAAAAAATAACCCGGATTCATCGAGCACTTTAATCAGCGAGCTGGGATTCAACGAGATCGCTTCCAGTGTGAACAGCCCCCGCAGACGTGGCGTCGCTCATTTTTCTCCCAGAACGAACGTTATCTACCGTCTTGGGTATAAGTAAGAACGTATAGCATGCGACCAATCACCGGCTTTTTTCACTTTTTCCATACCAACACATGCGTTGTCGGCACGCGCACGTGTTTACTCCGGCAGGTGTCGAGGTTGGATGGGCGGCTTGCACACGTGTGGCTGTGTGTGCATGTCGGAGGGAGGGGAGGGGGCACTAGCGGTCTGGGCGTTGATCGTCGCAGATACAAATCCGTCAGTCTTTTTTTTCCCTAGTTATCCCCCCCCCTCCCCGACACGCACACACAGCTATACCTGTCCCCGTAGGATTATGCAATTGTGCGGCCGCGTTTTTTCGCGTAATTCCGCTACATTTGCATAATTTGGGATTTCCTGCGTTTTTTTCACGTTTTTTGTTTTCTTTTCATATTTTTACAATATTTAGCTCCTCCCCGGTTGACTAAAGGGAAGTAGTCACCGTAATAAGTCTCATTTAAGTGATAAGTTGGTTATTTCCCTTGTTAAATGATCTTGGTTAGCCTAACAATAATTGAAATGGGTGAGGGATTTTGTTTCTTGAGCCTTGAGTTTGAGCAAGTTCAATTTTTCAATCCATCAAAAGTTGTTCTCATGTCTACTGATGTTTCATGTTTGACAGGTGTCCCTGGTTTAAGTGATGTGCCAGAATCAGCAGTCCAGATGTCTTCTTTTTATTTTTTTCTTTGTACATTTTTCTTTCTTCTACACTACAGCTGAAAGTTACAAAGATTCTTTTTTTTTGGTTTTTTTTTTGGACTGATGCGTATTGTTTTCTTTCCAAATACACAACAGATTACTAATACATGTACTGATATGTTCTGATTTCAATTTTTCTGTACATAAAACATGAAAATTCTTCTTGAAAAAGGGCAAAACATGTCGCGAATGGCGTTACGGTAACTTGCATAATTTTTGCATAATTTTGCTTTTTTCTTGCATAATTTGGTCATCTAAATTTGCATAATTCTATGGGGACAGCCATACGTGTGCAGGCCGCCCATCCGATCCCGACACACGCGCGCGTGCCAACAACGCATGTGTTGATATGAAAGAAGGCCGCTGATTGGTCGTATGCAATCGGCAAAGAGAATAATGGTTCACGATGCAGGTGCAATGGATGATTTCCGGGAATAGATAAAGTTCGTTCCGGGATAAAAATGAGCAGAGCCACGTCTGCGGGGGCTGTTCACCCTGGAAGCGACTCGCTGATTGAAGTGCTAGTTGAATACGGGTTATTTTTTAAAATTGATATTAAAGAAGGAAAAAAACAACAACGGGGAATCTATCTCATCTCGTTTAATCCGAGCTCGTTGAAACCGAGTTCCACTGTAGGCAGGGATTCCAGGCACTACTTGTGACCTCTCTTTATACAGTACTTGCTCAGTGCCTGTAATTATCCACACAAAACCTTGTGTTTGCTATGAAACAAACACTCAGATTCAACTAGATTTTAGGTCAGGCCCGGGGACCTCGTTGAATCCGAGAGTTCCACTGTATGTTATAAAGGGGAGTGTAAATGCATTGCACCTATCGGGACAGGACATTCTTGTCGCATGGAGTCCTGAGCAGTTGTGAATTGCTACAAAATCGATGGGACAGGACTGTCCTAGTCCCGGGGTAGTATCGTTTGTGATGATATTATATTATACTGGAGAAATATAGCTGCATACTGCATTTAGAACATAACTGCCCCAGACTTAGACTGGCGCGGGGCGTCACGGGCGTGGCACCTGCACTACTGTTAACCTCATTTTCTGCACCTCGATTCTCATTTTTTTTTTCTCTCCTTCAGTTGCTCGGTTTTGAAATTTTACAGTATATTGTCAAGTGTTTGAAATCTCATTAAAATGGATGTTGATCCAAATAGGAGACATTATCTGTGCAGTGGAAAGTAAAACTAAAACATGTTTGTAAAAGGCTGATGTTGATTACTGTGACGTAATCGAGGTGTAAAAGTCAGAGAATGGACAGAAGTATGTGAAATTTGTGATACAATCATCCCGCAATGGAAGGCCTGTCTGAACCGTGTGTATAGAAAGGTGATACAAGCTGCTCCATCAAGGAATTGATCCTTGGCCTTGAGTAATCTTTGAGCCACTAGAGTTAAATTAAAGTAATCTAAAGGATACACCCAATACTGTTTTCTTCCCCCCCCCCCCTCAATTCAAAGCACAGGCAACCTCGATTTCATCCATCTCGAAAATGCAATCTAAGCCTTGTGCAGAAGCACACCATGAAGGCGCAGCATGTCTTGGCACAGTTTGAAATGGAAAAATCTACCATAGGAGGACAGGACAGGTTTGTCCCAGGACAGGACTGTCGTAGTGTGGAAGGGGCTTTAGGTTTCCAAAATTGGGCATGAGTGATAACTGGTTTTGTCTAGGAGACAAGGAAGAGCAGCTAGGGTACCGTTAACAACAGTGAGCTCAAAGGGTCCCAAAGAGACCTGGACGTCTCTGATCAAAGGCATTCTTCCCACACTGTGACTGTGAATGGGAGTAAATACAGGATCCGTATCACAGTAGGACGGTCCAGACGAATCTTCCACACATTAGTGACATAGTCCTTTCTTAGTTTAGGTATGCAGTCTTCACTTTCGAGCCCGTAATTGTAAACCAATACTTACCCGGACAAAAGTCAACAGAAGATAACGATTTTACTGCAAATGCCTGTGATTGGTTGCATTCTCCTTACACAAATTTTACTCGAATTTTATTTTTAAGTAGGAAATCTATATTATATTCTCTGGAATCGCTGGAAAAAGCGATCATCTTCATGGCCATGGGTTCTACATTATATTGACAGGATTCAGCTACTTTTCACACAACACAACGATTGTGTTGTGAGAAAAGTAGCTGAATCTTAGCACAATGTACGTGTACAAGTGAAACTCTTATACAGTAGGCTACTTGACGAAGTCATTAGGCCTGACCTTCAATTTTCTTGAATCAGTGTTTCTTAATAATAATAACGCGCAAATCCCCACTCAACACCAAGCTCTGTGCGCTTTACAATCTATACTATTACCCCAGCAGACCTGAGAGCATTCTGAAACAACCTCAACTTCCAGGGAAGCATACAGTGCAAGCGGCCATTTATTGGCGCTAAAACACTAACATACTGACAAGATCTTTCGCTGTCTACGGCCGTGTACCCATTCCCACCTGGGTGAAGTGAGGAAAATTTGTGTAAAGTGCCTTTCCCAAGGACACGACGTCGGGCCTGCGGCTTGAACCCCCAAACCCACGATTACGAGTCCGGTAGACTAACCACTAGGCCATGTGAAAGCAATGTGAACTTTTTTGGATTGAATGCAGGTACATGTACCACTATCAGAGTGGGCGTAGTAAAAAAAAAGGCATGCTCGCTCAAATGAATGTCTGTGTCATAATGGTAGGCCTACTTTGTAACAACTGTTTGCTGAACAAGTTGCTGTGAAGCTTTGAGCCTGGCCTATGGCAATGTATGGTTTCACAGACCAGCGCTGAATTCAGGTAGACCTATGCCTACCGCTGTTCAGTAGCCAGGGAAAAATATGACTACACTACATGTACTGTGCCACACCTGCATATTCTGCTGGCAACCCTTTATTTCCGCCCATCAAATTACTTTGTTCATATCATATAAAAGATCAGCATGCTTCTCTTTAACTCAAACTGACTAAAAACATAAACAAAATGACAGTCAAAAGTCAACAATGTTTTAGTTTTAGATAAATCAATAATGTATTGTTATAGTTATAGAGTGAAAAAACTGGGAAATATTCTATAAATAATCAACTGGACAGCAAGTTACTAAGTAAAATTACAGAAACATTCAACTACCGCTCCATTATATCATACCCATCACAAAACATATTTCAGCTTCAACGTGGCCACTTGCAGCAGCATTCGTTTTAATCTAACCATACTTAGTACTTGCTGTTTTAATATCAACTTGAATTGCAGTTCAATAAAATGGTGGATAGCAAATTTTAATAACCCAATTTAGGCTATTCAGGAGGTGGGACACCAAAAAAATTTCATGAATTCAAAAGATCAAAGATGAAAACAGCTTATTAATGATACAGTAGTCTCTGCCTAAATGCACGCTATACAAAGGCACCTTCCGCTCAAACATATATGCCTTTGTCATATGACAGGTTTTATCATTATTCATAATAAATAATAATGAACAAACACACGCTGACTTCCTTGAAATTGACACATGCTTTGATCTGCAAAACACACAGACAAGTAAAACTTGACACAGGGAAATTTTTACAACCAAGACAGCATGCCTCACGACAGCAAAGACAAGTCTAGACAACCGGATATTTTGCAAAGCTGTTCATTGCGCAACACAATGAAAGTGGGTTCACATCCTACGTATAGGAGTGGGTGAGCGATGTACTTGGTGTGTGTGTTGAAATGTCTTTTAATTGGTCATTTGAAATACGTCTTTGAGAGATTTCTTACTGGTGTTTTGGTGACTGTATTGTTTAATAAGCCTATGGATGCACAACAATGCTGCAGAACACTAGATAGGCCCATATTATTAATGATTTAGTCAAATGATCAGCTGAGCTCAAAGAACATACTAGTTCAAAGAATCACTAGCGAAAAGTCTCTGAGAATGTCTAGTTCCACCTATGATTTTTACCTACTTGCAACATATTACAGGAAGTCGATAGTTGTTGTTTGGAATGAAGCCACATGGTTGAACGCTCCCCTTTGACTATCACCAACCCAACAGTTTCCTCTGATCTATTCCCGACATATTAGTGTGTATCAGTACAATGAGTTGGTCTTTCTGCTTTTTTTCCACTACTCATTCATTGCCTTTGTAGACATAACCATGAGCTCCACACACCATGCCCCACCCCTCCCCCTCCCAGGTAACAGTAATCACTAAAATACCAATGAATTAAGACAGTTGCGTCCCTCCGCCCGCTAAGATTTATATATATAAACACACACTCCAAGTTAACATTCTTTGGAGCCCTCCCGCGCACCCTGCATTAAGGCAGAGACAACTGTATTCATAGTAAAATGAAACATTAATCATATCCGTACTCCCTGTGGTCATTTCGTACCCCCGGGGTTGTATTTTTCATATTTTAGAATACTTCTAGTACGAAGACCTCTTTGAAATTTTCAGTATTTCTCAAAAAATCATTTTGACACATTGCTATGCAAAGTGTACGGATCGGATTAACGGGTAAATTCCCTCTTCATACGAATAGGGTTAAAAAGTAGAGCCTCTGAGCTAACATGAAAAGAAAAGAATACCTCTAAAATTGGGAGACGATGCACATTTAGAACAATATATGACTGACATTTTACCATTGACACGAACACAAAGCCCCCCCCCCCCCCCCCCCCAAGTCTGGCTGCAAATTTTGACCACAAACCTTTTCAAATTTGAATTTCAAATAAATGCAGCCCGAAAAGACATAGCAATCAATCACAAGCTCTTAGTTTATTTCTTTTAGGAATGTCACTTTTTAGCAGAAAATGTGTTCAGATCGAGAGCAAATGACAAAACCGAAAGTTCCCAGAAACAGATAGTTTCTGAGGGTGACTTTTGTCCCGATCCTCGACACACTTATACTATCAGTCGGAAATTTCCTTGACACTTCTTATGACGTAGCTTCTCAATGATTAGCTTAATAAAAGTCATTAATGGTGTTTGAAAATAGTAAAATTAAAATAGTGATACCTTTCAAAGTATGGTCAGCATAGTCACTCATGGCTTCTAAAAACAGCAACTACATCCTAGCAGTGAGCTCATTTTGAAATATACTCTTACTCACAACTGATAACACCTCTTTCATGTAAAGTTTACTGGTTAGAATTAGACAAATAGAAATCCATGAAAAAGAACTCCTGATCGTAAGATGAGAGCTCGTTAAGTCATTGACTACGCATTTTCCAGACTTCACAACATCTTTGCATTTCATGAAATTGAGACTGTTTCTAACAAGATCAATCTAAGCATGTGTCAAAATAGCGGGGAAGAAGCATAAATCAGTATATCTTGAGCAGGCAAAGCATAGTTCACTATTAAGATTTGAAAACAGAAAAAGTCAAAACATGTGGTGCTATTTTCAATCATAGATAGTGGTAGCAGATGTTAACAGCTTCATATGTCACGACAGGGTGGAACCAGGTGCTCGTCAATTTTTGAGCGTACGAAGTTACTGGTACATCTTAAAGCTTGTTTATTTGACTTTTTAAAAAAGTAAAAATTGCCCAGGGCAGAAAAATGTTCATTTCTTTGATTTCATTCTTTTGAAGAGCCCCTGATTTCACCATGATGTCAGAAAATGTATTCAGAATGTAACATCGATGACAAAGGTATTATATTGGTAAAAAATCTGCCGTACACATTAAACCCATCAGTTTGACCTCTACAATTCTGATACCAGACTCCAAAGACACAAGATGTATGTGAACGTCCATAGCATATTTCAATGAACGAATTTAAACCTCAACTAATCTGAAAAAAATCAATGGCACTCTGAAAAGAATATCTTACAGTTAGTAACTCCCTGAGCTCTTGAAAGGCTAAGAGAAGAAAAAGAAGGCAATTTCGGATTTACATTCTAGATCATCATGGATTTTGTTCAGGTAAAAACCCTTGAAAAACTACTAATCGTAAGTCATTTGAATCGTCTGCCATTTAAGGGATGATACACTCTAAACCACAAGAGGCAAGTAGAAAAGTAGGTTAAAAATTATAAGAAAGCACAAATGTTAGATAATAAATAACAGAGAGTAACATCTCAGTGGTGCAAATGGATAGAAAAATGCTGGAGGGAGATCTTTAGAAATTCAGTCATGGTACATGTGCGTTGAAGTAGCACATTTCACCATTGCGTTGATGAGTTTCACGAAGCCGGTATCTTTAGGTTTTTCAAGCCCCCGCATAACTCTTCTTTTCATCACAGAAACAAACTCCTTGTTGCTGAGCTCTCCGTCATCTATGGAGGGTAAAAAAGGATAAGGAGATTACAGTTTACAAGAAGAAAAACTCTCATATAAATACAATCTAACATGCACATAGCAAACAAATTTTCAGGTCCTGAATTTTTTCTTTTATACAAGTAGGATATATGCTTTGTACAGTGGGTGCCGCATTCAACGAGATCACATTCAACGAGAAGTCGGCTCTATATCTATATCTCTTTGTAAATGTACGTCGGCTCCAACGAGGTTTCAAACAGACCGAAGTCGCTTTCAACGAGGTAGCGATAACCAAATAAAAGCAATTAGCAGCCCCAACAGCAATTATTTTTTCTCCTTTCTCTCCATCTCATGCGAAGCACAAGGCCCAGCCTCGATTCCTAAAACATTGTATTGCTAGGTCTAGAATGCCTCCTAATATGGGCCTCAAAGCCAAGAGGATGGGCGAGGGTTAGCCTGCGTTAGGGATGTGCGTACAAAACTTTATACAATAAACCCGAGAACAAAATTCTCTGATTAGACAATTGTGTTTTTTCTATCCCTGAGGTTTCGGTAAAAACAGTTTTGATGATAAATTGTAGCGTGCCAAAGACAACCCAACCATGTACAACGGAATGTAACCAAACCATTTCAAGCATTGTTTACAAAGATTTCATTTTTAAAAACCCAGTAGTGATAACATCAGACATCAAACAAATTATACTGGCGGTCCAAAAAAAAGGTAAACACATTTTGAATGTGTATAAAATCTACTCTTTTGAATCTTTACGCTTTTCCTTTCATGTGAGTAATATTAAGAGATATCAATTAGATAATGTTATTGTTATTAAAATATAATTAAGGTTCTTCAATTAGCATTCACAGCACCGACATTAAAATATATAAATTTGGCATTTTTTTCTGACGTTGAATGTCCTGGTACAGTAGAAACGTGCAGAGCATGCAGATGGCTCGTTTTCCTGATGTTGAGTTAAACATATCGTCTTTCTCTGGTGACAAAGATCAAATGTTATTTTGGTGTTTGGTAAAAACCTAAACTTCACCAAAAAAAAACAAAGAACAGAAAAATCTGCCATGAGGTAGGGGAAAAATGCCAATTTTCTACTTTTAAATGTTGGTGCTGTGAACACTAATCCTTTAATTCCCTATTTCATTTTTATCAGCCAGAAACGATTTCATGGATTTTCCTGAACAGCCAGAATTAAATATGTGCTGTAATTCAGAATTCAAGTAAATTTTTGTATCACGAAAAATTATGGATTTAAATCTATTTCTTTCACCATAACAAAAAATTAACAATTGGCAATAGGACAGAAGCATGGATAGTGAGACTGAATGCAGAAAAAGCAGGTGTATTGTAGAGGGATTTCAGTAACAATTCTGAGTGGGGAAATGACTCGGACTCCAAAGTTGTTTGAAATATAACGTTATACCATTAAAAAAATACGCCTTCACGTTGCGAATTTTCACAAAGAAAGGAAGAATCATATCTATTTTTAACTTAACCTGTATTACAAACATGGATTTGGAGTACAGAACAGTAATGTGTATTAAATTAAAGGAGACGAAAACGATACGCTGTATTGTTCTGGCAGATGTGGGTAAACTGAAATGACAGAGAGCGTAGATAGGAGTTCAGGCATACATGACTTCTTAGACCACTTAACATTTCCATATCATTTTAATCAGCTCTGAGCAATCTCTTCATTTATAAATTGTTTTAATTTTGTAATGAGGAACGTGAATTGACCCATACCAATACATGTAGGGCCTACCAGTGTAAAGGACACAGTATTTCATTGTCAACAGCCTACTGGTAGAGTGGTCTCAAGACAAGGAACTGTTTGCTAATTTTCTCCATTTACAAAAGCATCGTCCAACACAGTCTCATCCTATTGGTGACATTGTGACCACATACTTACAATACAACGTATCACTGAGAAGACTGAATGAAATTAATACTAAATTGTCTCACAAACAAAACTCACCGCTTTCATGCAACAAAAAGCCTTCACAAACAAACTTACTGTTTTCATCAAACAAAGTGAAGATGACATCAATAATATGATCTGAAAGATCTACAAAGGCCACAGTTCTTGCAACATGCTTGAAAGTTTCTGAAATGAAAGTTACATAATTTGTAATTTCCACAAACTCGCAATACCTATGCTGTAGTTTGGGATAAGAGCCATGACATTTATGAAGGACCAACCAAATCAGAAGCTATCTGAGGTATAATGCCGAGTAAACAAACATGACCTTCAATTCTTAACACAAATCACAATAAAAAAATGTTCGTTTTTTAAAAACAAGAACAAAGTCTCACTTAACTACTCCCCCGTTATAAAAGAGGTAAGATTTCTTCAGGCAATACACATAGACAACCTACATTTATTTTTTAGGCTCTATTACACCTGGTGCAGTTCAATAAGGACGGATGATTTCATGAAAGCCAAAGAGTTATTAAAAACCCTTCAGCAGTCAAAAGTCATAGTAGAACCCTCATAGGCTGCCAGCAAAAAATTAAGATCTAAATACCATAGAAAACTGAAGAAATTGTGAGTCTTTTAAAAAATGCAACCAAATTCACAGTACTTACGGGAAATAATAAGACCAGGAACACTGCTGTATAATGGTAACATGAAAAAAGCTATATGTGTACTATGAGAGTGAGACAATAAGCTGCATAGTAGGTTGAAAAACTGAAAGTCACCTACCCTTGAAATCTAGAAAAGGAACACAGAAGTAACCCCACTCCCAACTTTCTATTCTTATCTTTTCAACTAGCAGTCATTTCTCTTGATGGATATGTTGACAAGGTTCCTGTAATATGTTGATTTGTACGAACCCACCTTCATCAATAGAAACGCCAGCAAGGTGGTAGAAACTCAGGGCTGTGTCTACATCATTGATGTTCTGCAGGAATCTCCACACAGACAAATACTCATCAAAAGTAATGCCCTGAGAGAGAGAGAGAGAGAGAACAAACATATTCAGTTCAGTTTCAGTATTGAGTATGGTCACATTGAGGTTTACAATATATAACTAAAAAAGAACCTTTTTCTTTGGCAGGGAATTGTCACAATCTGTTAATCATGCAAATAATCAAAGTAAACAGTACTGTGTTCACATCACTACTAGTAGCTGAACAGAAAACAGAACAAAATTGTAGGGATGAACAATAATTTTCAAAAGCAAGTGTAACACAGACATCCCCAATACCCATCCAATCCAAACAAAAAGAAATAGCATTATTCTCATGTGCAAGTGCTGTAGATTCTGTTTAACATGAAACTCCAGTTAATATGGAAGGATTTCATATCCGTGCTTTTTCCCGCACATTATTCTATGCATTGCAAGTTTCCGCTCATAAGCTGAAAATGCTATAATAAAATGAGAGTTCAACAAAGAGACAGTCAGAAGTACATTTTTCTGTTTCTTATGCGTCTCAGTTACAGCAGAAATGAGGGACTTTCTTGTTGCCAGACAAAGCGAACAAACATATAAAATATTTGAACACTTTCCTTGATCGTTACAATTTTGTGTAATGTGCCATACTACTGAACAAGCAAAAATGTTTATCTTACCCTGATACTTAACTCCACAGATGGCAAAAGTCACTTTTCTTAAAGCTTGAAACCCTTCATGTGCTTTTCTAAACCGAGTACTTCAATTGACCATCTTACCTTTGGATTTTCCTTGTATTTCCTGCGAACTCGTTTCAACATACGAGTCTTCTTAGTGTCTGGAAGGCCAGCATAAGTGAGCAAGACACTGCCAAAATCACGCTCAGACATCAAGCCATCTTCAGCATGTCTATTGAACTGTGGAAGATAAAGTCCTTTCAAAATAATAAAAATAGAAAATATTACCATAATATGCCTGAAGTGACCCACTTTGAAATTTGGAGAAAGTTCTTTCAATGCCCTCTTTAAATTTAGCCAGACTACATTCAAATGAGTTTTACAAGCATAATCAGTGAAAGTTCAATATAATATTATGTTTGTTACCCAATTCTACACAATACTGTTTTACATAACGTGCATGATAACACTCTCTTTGAGTAGCCACAGCACAGCTGTGGACTTGCAATCTCTTTATTGACCTAAATCAAGTACTAATTAATATCTATTTTTAAGATATACAAAGGTTTTCATGAGTGCAATAAAAAAAAATCCTCAACTATTCCCCCAATTCTAGCGGTCTGGTACACTTACAGCATTTGATAAAAGAAAATGGGGCACAAACCTCAATTCTGTTGATTTCTTTATGCAGCTGTTTTTGGAACTCCAGGAAGCTCTTCACAGTCAGTTTCTTTGAGCCATCTTTACCAAAGAAGTAAGAGCTGAGAGCCGAGCTCATGCCATGATCAACACTTCCTGTGTTTGAGTGATTTCTATGCCTCATACCGATTGATGTCTGATTGCGGATTATCTCTTGAACCTGGAAATAACAAGTAACAAAGTGGAAAGGTGATTTTAAAAAAAGATAGTTATCAAACTCTCAGACAAATCGTAAGTTACAGTACTGATGTAGACTTCCTGGAAGTTGACAAACAATCACACCTGCTCTAACCTCCACCTGTCAAAGACATTCTCCCCAGACTGTCCTTTTACAAATGACCACTTTCCAACTATGATGACCACTTTACTCCATAATGGGTAGCTATCTTGGACAAATTTGACTGAATATTTCATTTTGTTTTAGTAAGGTTTTACAGCGTTCGCAACTGCATAAGTCATATGAGCGCCAAGGGGTGGATGTCAACAGAGAAGTTCAAATGGGGAATCAGGATTACTTTGCTCCCCTCTCCAGTCTCAATAGCATAAGTCTGCTTCGAACATCTAGGCAGCCCGGAAACAGCAGTTCACAAGGGAGTGACAAACGTACAAAAGAAGTAGAGGAAAAAATGACGATAGTAAGGATAAGGTAAGAAAAGGCAGTAGTTTCCCCTATGTTGTTCCAGCACAGTATGAGCATGACATTGATAACTCAGACCAGTTACAATTCTAATGTGCATAAGAACATGTTAATATCCCCCATTTGGGAATGGCCTGTATATTAAAATTTTGCCTGTGGTTACAAGGTGTATGTGTAAGTCATACATCATGGATCTTTTCAACATGATAACTTTATAGTTCAATAAGCAGCTACAGAAAACAAAGGAAGGTGAGGCAGGAATAAAGGGGAAAGTGAAGAAATAAAAGAAAGTTAACCCTGGAAGCGCGCAGCCCCTATATAAAGGCGCGAGCTGGGCTACCCTGGAAGCTCAGCGCACAGGCCCTTTAACTCACTGATTGCCAGGCTCGTGGAGCCTCAACAGCGGTGGTCTGCCGGTGTTTTTAGAGTGTTTAAAAAAATTGTAACTCAAAAACTATTGTACTTAGGGATTTGAAATTTGGTGTGCTGTGCATTTATATGCTTTAGTGTACTCATGCCTCATGGATAGCTGGTGCCTCTATAAATAAATCATTGATGGTCTGTACTCATGCCAGATATCTTTTCAACATACGCAATAGTTTTTTAAAACGATTTTTAGAAAAATTGTCAATTTTTTTTACAAAATATAAAAATGTGAAATCAAAATGTCGTTGTTCATTGTTGTTTGTTTAGGCGCACTACTAGCACTAGAATCAGGTAATCTTGGCCCTCTCTTACCTTCCCGAAAACAAAATGATGGGTCAGCATCGCTATCAACATCTAATTCACCTATTTCAATGTCTGATCTAACACCATGAAACGGTTTATCATTAATTTCATCTGCAAATGCATAAAAAATATTGCGCCGCTTCTTTGACGCCATCGTGTAGGGAAATCACTACAGAACTGAGAATAGGCAGGGAATAGGTCTCTTGTGGAAAAAAACCACAAAAAAATCCCCCGAACGCGTAAGGCTGACACTCTAGTAATTTATCACGTCGAAATGGCTTCCCTAACTGTTGTAAACTGTCAGAGCCGGTTCAGAGCCGGTTGCAGTCCGGGATGAAGATGGAACAAAATAATAAAGTCCATACCGGCGGGCCTCCGGGTTCGGCAATTTTTAAAAACGTAATCCCATCCCGGACACGCTCCGGTAACAGCAGTCGGTGAGATATAAAGGGCATAGCCACCGACCTTTTTCAATGGAAAATTTCAGTATTCCTCATATGGAAAATGACGTAGTAAATTACTGGTCAAAGTTATAAATAATGACCAATGACTTTGCAAGTTATCTTGACCTCGTAGAGCGTCTCTTGGCTAAGATATTGATTGACAAAGTGATGCGGTCCAGCTGAGAGACTACACGCAAAGTGTTATCACTTGTTTCGCCGTGCTGATGTACAAATTGTTGAGTTTATTGCGTTTTGCACTTTGTATTATTTGATTGCTTATCATTTTTTAATGGCTCACTCTATCAGCTTTTACAAAAGATAGGTTTTACATGTCTTTTATCATCTGCTGAGCCGTAAATGGTCATTTTCCAGTATCAGTTATACAAGTCTGATATCTCAGCTGATATCCTCCAGCCAAACCCCCATGTTTACAACCAATTGGCCCTGGTGGCGGGGCATTTTTGGCGGATTACTTCCGGGGAAATGCTGAGCGCTTCTAGGGTTAAAAACCCTCAACACATCAGATCTACATAACCCACCCAAAAACAAGTTACTTTAAAATACATACATCATAGAGTAATATGATTTTGGAAGGGCAATGTAGATCTTCCTTATGTGTTGAGTTTTTTCAAACTTTCTTTTATTTCTTCACTTCCCCTTTAAGTAGCCTACTTTAACAGTAGATTCATGTAATTGTAAAGGACAACTCAAAGCTATAGCAACAAAATAGACCACAAAAGTACATCATGCAAATTCAAGTAATACCTGAACTCTCTTGTCTTACTTATCAAGTTTCAAGACGCAATGGGTTCTTAGTATCAAGAGAACTTGGACAATGTTTTAGGAATCAAAATCTTGACAAGACAATCATACCTTGTTGAACTCTTCAAGGTCAACCTCTCCATCACCATTGAAATCAAACATGCGAAAACCGATCTCGAAATTGCGAGGAGGTGCTGCAAGAAAGAATTTTAAGATAATTCATAATCATTGTATAATATATAAGAAATGTGAATAAACAGGATCCATTTGTCATTGCAAGTTCAAAGAGCTTGCTCGTGTATCTGTGATTTAAGGGAATAAAAAGAAGGTACAAACACTCAGAAATATAATCTTATGGATTTTATGTAACTCCCTTTGACACTTTAAATAGAACTTGTAAGTGATGACACAGAACAGAGAAGCCCTAATTCTAAACGAAAGAACAGAACAACAAAGTACTGCTTAAAAAAAGAATAAGTACCACTTACTTGACAACACAGTGAGTAAGAAGATGTAGTCGGAGAAGGAAATGAGTCCAGACTGTCCCATTTTGTAGAAGATGCTGTTGGGATCAACCATGTCCATCATTTCTTTACTCTCATGCTGTAGACAGAACAGGTACAAATCTATTACAACAACAACACACAGTGCCAAAAGACAGTAAAATAAAGGTAAGATTACCTAGCTATTTTGTGCAACACAGGAAGCGATTGGGTGTCTATTACTTCTCCCAAAAAAAGGGATCATTTAACAATTACTTCCCCGTTACAAAAATGAGCGTTGGTACTCAAAATGGGGCAAGAGCAGTTAAAATCACCACGAGAAAGTACAATCAGTCTTAAACTTAATGATCTCAAGAGCATGCTTTAAATGCCTCATTACAGCATAAATCTCAAATTGCACCAGAGTCAAGTTTCACAACAGTGGATGTATTCAATGGATTATGCCTTCACTAAAGACTTAAGTAACAATATGAAAAATCTTAAAATAGTCAACTGAAAGATCAGTTAAAGAAACAAAAAGTAAATAGATACACCTACATTTGTCAGAAAAAACTCTTAAAAGTACAATGACTAACAACAAATATTTTGTCAGTCAGCGAGATAAGCTGTTACAAGTCACATATCAAATTAAAAATGAACACATAATTTGAAGGAGTAATGTGGAAAAGATATAAAGCAGGATAAAAAACTCCGAAACCTGACGCAATATATATCTGAACAAAAGACTTTATACCGCATATATATCTCACAATGCAAAACAGCTGTAGGTTGCATCACATAAACGCTCCATGCTGGAACAATGAACAGTTGAAACACCGGGACCGAGATGTTCAGTATGTGTTCACTTCGAGCAACTGGATAGCAACGCTAGCATCACATTATTATTCGCAAAAACAAACAACATAGCGATGGGGTTGTTGCAGCAGCACAAATGTAATCCTTTTTTTTAAGCAGGTCAGGTGGGTATACCAAAGTTCTTGAAAACATTATCAAAGTAAGAAAATAAGTGATCAGTTAGTCTGCCTCGGGGAACACGGGGAAGTACAGATTCAGCCTTGGTACAAACTTGAGGTGGAAACACGAATAGCTCAATGAGATACCTGCACATTCCGCTAGGAAAAACAATGTATCATGAAACTCTACTTGCAAACCACATAAAAATAAACTACATTTCCTATATTAAATAACAAAAACATCAAAAGTGTTTAGGTTATATATCAATATACTTCCTACACTACAAAAACGAAAGACTGTATTTACCTACTGCCCTAAAGTCGTAATTGTCAAAAGAGAAGAAGTAATTAATATCTTTTTTTCCCCACATCAACAGTTTTTAATTTTGTTACTGAAAGTCCGAAAGAGTTGTTGAGTTGAGAGAATCGTAGTATACAATGAGGTAGAAAGAGAATAGCTCAACTGTCGAAGAAAAAATAGTCATAGTGGAAAGAAAAAGGACAGATTCATACTAATAGTGCCCAACAACCACCTGAAGCCAGGAAAAAAAAAGCTTTTCTTGTGTGTGTGTAAATCTGAAGAGAAGCACTGCCAGCCTTTATTGAGTGAAATCAACAGTTGGTGAAGTAATATCAGAAAAACTAACGATTAGCAAGTCGTGCATGAAAACGTGATTCTAAGGAAACAGGGAATGTGGTGGTAAGTGAAAAAAATTTCTTCAGTTGGAAAAAAAAAAAAAGGAAGAAAGGAAAGAACATTATGTCCACAAGACTAAACACAGAGTCAGATTGTATGAGGAAAACAAGTTTGAACCTTAAGAGGAAATGCTGCGATATTTTAAAAACTATTTTTCTACAATTGTGTCAGAGTCAGAAAAATCATATTCTACATCTAACGGAATGAACAAATAACAAGCAGGTGAGTTCATGAGTGGTGTAACAACATGAGTAGCACCTAGATTTATTCGAACTTCCCATGAAATATTTTTAAAAAACAAAAACGTTTGTCACCTTGCCTTACGAGGCTAAAATATGTGTCTTATAAATTATATACCACAGGAAAGTAAAAAATATGTGTCTTATAAATTATATACCACAGGAAAGTAAAAATGCCCACTCATAAGAGTCTGGGAAAAGCAAAGGGAACACAAGAAAAGCATTACCCACCATGTCAAGCTTAAGATTTGACCGCAGGATGTGAACAAAAGTCAACAAATGAAAAGGAAAATACATGAGCAGTAAATAAGAACATTGTTGTACAACATATGCAAGTTGTTATTACAGGTCCACTTCAATTCTTCAGAAAGAGCGGGCACACTTTAAGTGACCAGAATGTGAAATTTCCCAATAATCCCAGTTCCTTCCTCAAAGAGAAGTGCTGTCGTACTCCTACCCAATACTCAGAGTGTGCACTCTCAAAACCGATGGTCGAAACGAAAAGTAAATCTATGCAAACACTAGCAAAATTGTTTACAAAAACAACAATAAAAAATTTTCCTCACTGTGCCACTTCCGAAGTGAATCTGATATTCAGTGCAGAAAATGTAATTCACATAGAGCTGCTTGCAAGTGCAAGCAAGGGTGAGTCCCACCCTTTTTCAACTGCTTCAGATGATGGTCATGTCCAAATTGGGTAACACCAGAGCATTGATAACTGAAAACAATGAGAAAGATGATCTGATGCCTGCAGTCCCAACTCACTTGTCCTCTGGTTTCTCCTTCAGGCAAACTGCATGGTTGAGAGTGCTGCACTTCATTGGTTTTAATTTCACTCCAAAGCATTACTGTATTATTATCAATTTATTCAAATAAACATCCAATGAAACAAAGTGTTGATATACATCAGTTATTAGCTCTTTTAATGAACTAATATTTACAGCTTTTAGCAAATCCATGTGCACAGCTCTATTCACCAAGTTGCGGGGCTATCATCAGGCCACGAGGGGATTTCCTCTTCTGTTGGGCTTCACTCCACAATCATCACCTTGTATCGCACATCCAACACAGCACTTGGTAACATGAGCCAATAGAATCAAGCTGAATATTTCCTAACATGCATCACATGGGTGGGTGATGTCCTAAATCCGATGACGGAGCAAACTTTTCCTTCTGTTCCACATCCTGACAGGGTTGTAGAAACATGAACAGGTGCATTTTACAGAAATTTTGGAATGCTGTCACAAACGCATGAAGACAATTACATTCCGAGGATATCGAGAGAAGTAGGATTTTATTCATGCAGTCTGTCGTTAATTGGGAAGATGTAGTTAGAACCTCTGCTCTTTTTCATTTCAGAGGTTCCCCGGCAGGCTGTGTGGATTAGAAATCGCTTCAGTTTCTAAACAGGGGAGAAGAAGGCCCCACCAATTCCTTTTTCTTTGCAAGTAATAACTGGATCGATAACAACAACAACTTGTAAGTAATAATTCAATAAAATAGTACAGTCATGACAGGCACTTGTACAAATGGCCACTTTCCATTTCCTCCTTTGTGTTTTTTCAATACAATTCAACTGTGTGAAGCTGTCACCTGTCCAATGCAGCCGCGGCCACCATATTTTATCAACAATCAAACAAAAATACTAGGGTAAAATGGCCTTGCATACCTCTCATTGCACAATGCTTCGTCAAAAATTATGTTTTGGCCGTCATGATCCATAATCGATTCACATGTCGTTACTGTCAATCTATCCAATGAATGAACTGATCATGTCGAGTACTGTTTATCCAAGTTGGCCAATCGGTAGCATTAATTTTCAGTTGCTAGTGAGGGAAGATTATGATCCATCATAACCTATAAGCTCCGTCCACAACTCATACAAAAAACATTTTTATCGTAAGGGAGATGAGCAGTCACTTTTGACCCAATCCGTAACAATGGACATCAACATGAACTTGTGACTGAAGCGTTGCCCGTTCTCCCAGTCATGGCGACCGATATGCTTGTTTTAACATGGCACTCAATTCTTCCTTATCTGACATATTCCATTTTATTTAACCCTTGCACACAATCAGCAGCAAAAAAAGCTAACGAAAAAAACCCACCTCGACCCTCTAACCCCCCATCCCTCCCCCTTTTTTCAAAAGAAAAAAAAATTTTTTTAAAAAGAGCCTGCAGCAGTCCTAACCCTGTGACCATCCTCAGTTGGGACCTCATAAGGTAAGGATTTTTTTTTTCATTTTGATAACCCTATATAGGATGGCCGCCTGTCTTTATACGGCCACTTTCCTCCTTTTCCTCTTGACAATGGGCAGCTGTGTTGCGCAGGTTCGACTGTATTTCAAATACAGTCCTCTAATGTCAAAGAAGCTAGTGCCTTTACGTACGCTAGAGCTTTATAAACAATGAGCTCAATGCAAAAGTTCCATCACTTCTGAATCACATAGATGATAGCTTAAATACAGACCTGCCTTACAGCATAACTATATTTTCTTGAATATGGGAACGAAAAAGTGGAAGTTCTATTTCAGGCCAAAGACAAAAATTTGAAATTCTTAAAACATTTTACTGGTGGAACCTTAATGATTGCAGTTTGCATTTAAGGCTCCAATTCATTTTCCTTGTGGTGGCAGAATTTAATAGAGAGAACCACTTCTATGTCCTGAATTTGCTGTCACTCCAATGTTTTTAAAAAATCACATCTTTCAAAAAGGTGCAATAGTGCGGGAAGGTCAGTTCTAAATCACAAATAACTGTTACCCAGCATCACACGTATGTTAGGGAATATTATCAGCAAAAAGTACTCAAATTCCAGGGTGTGAACAATTCATTTAAGAAATGTTTATGAGAAACACGATATGGAGAGGTTAGTATTGGGAATGTAATAATGCTTTCAGTTGTTACCTCAAAGGTCTCCTAAAAGAAAACACACAAAAAACATAAATGTAGACACGTGTCATATTTGCAGAAATTTCCTCACACCATAGTGTCACCAATATGGCTCCTTTTCATTCTTGGTTTATAACTTCTTTGGAAAAAAAAGCGAAAGCAACTTTAAAAAAAGTATAGTACACGAATTTATATTACAACATCATGATTGACACAATGCCTTCCATAAAAAATAATAATGGAATGAGTTCTTTTGTAAAAAATGTTTTCTTGATTTGACAACTGATTTTTCTCAGCATTTTTGAGTACATAAAAAGAA